CATACAGATAGTAAAGGAAGAAATTAAATGGTCTTTATTCACAGTTATAATGATATATATATGTAGAAAGCTCTAAGCAATTTACAAAACAAAAACAAAAACAAAATCACCAGTATCTGTATAACCTTGTAACAAACTATTGGAAAATGGAATGAAAAGGTGTCATTTACAGTTGCATCAACAAACATGAAACACTTAGAGATCAGTTTAATGAAAGATATGTAAGACATTTACATGGAAAAGTGTAAAATATTGCTGAGAGAAATTAAAGACCTAAATGAATGAAGAGATATGCCATGTTCATGGATGAGAATTCTCAATATTGTTAAAATGTTAGTTTTCCCCAAATTGATCTACAGATTCAATGTAATCCAAATCATAATCTCTACTCTACACCGAATATTTGTGTCCCACCCCCCACCTCCAAATTCATATGCTGAAACCCTAATCCCAGTGTGATTATATTAGGAAATGGGGCCTTTGGGGCACCTGGATGGCTCAGTCAGTTAAGAGCCCAACACTTGATTTCAGCTCAGGTCATGATCTCAGGGTTGCAAGATCAACCCCTGTATAGAACCCCGTATCATGCTCTGTGCTGGGAGCCTGCTTTAAGATTCTTTCTCTCTGGGATCCCTGGGTGGCGCAACGGTTTGGCACCTGCCTCCGGCCCAGGGTGTGATCCTGGAGTCCCGGGATCGAGTCCCACATCGGGCTCCCGGTGCATGGAGCCTGCTTCTCCCTCTGCCTGTGTCTCTGCCTCTCTCTCTCTCTCTCTCTCTCTCTCTCTCATAAATAAATTAAAAAAAAATTAAAAAAAGATTCTTTCTCTCTTCCCCTACCACCAGCCCACTCTACTCCCCACCCTAACCCTAACCCCACCCCACCACCCACTTGCATGCTCTCTCTCTCCCAAAAAAAAAAAAAAAAAAAAAAAAGGAAAGAAAAAGAAAAATGAAATGAGGCTTTTAGAGGGTGATTAGGTCATGGAGACAGAGCCCTCACAAATGGGATTAGTATCCTTATAAAAAAAAATTCCCCGGAAAGATTCCTTACATCTTCTGCCTTGTGAGGACACAGCAAGAAGATAGCCATCTATGAACCAGGAAGTGGGCTCTTACCAGTCTCCAAATTTGCCAGACCCCTAATCTTGGACTTCCCAGCCTCCAGAACTATGAGAAATAAATTTCTGTTGTTTAAGCCAACAGTAAGTCTATGGAATTCTGTAATAGCAGCCCAAACATATTAAGACAATCATCCGATAGTTTTTGCAAAATTTGACAAAATTGCTCTAATATATGGAAATTTAAAGGACCTAGACTATCCAAAGCAATCTTGAAAAAAAAAAAAGAGCAAGGTAGGATTTATATTATTTGACTTCAAAACCTACTATAAAGCTATAGTAATTGAGTCTGTGTGGCCTTGGTGTTAGGATGAACATATACATCAGAGAAACAAAATAGGGAGTCCAGAAATAGACCTACAAGTGTTTTGTCAATTGACTGTTGACAAGGGTGCAACAGTAATTTAAAGAGGAGAGGTATCTTTTCAACAAATGGTGCTAGAACCACTGTACAGTCTTGTAGAAAAAAATATACCTTGACCCCAACCTCATAATACATACAAAAATAAACTGGAAATGGATCATAGACCTAAACATAACAGCTAAATGATAAAATTCTAAAAGAAAACATAGGAGAAAATCCGGGATAAGAAAGATTTCTAAAAACACCAAAAAAGAAACAATAGGGATCCCTGGGTGGCGCAGCGGTTTGGCGCCTGCCTTTGGCCCAGGGCGCGATCCTGGAGACCCGGGATCGAATCCCACATCGGGCTCCCGGTGCATGGAGCCTGCTTCTCCCTCTGCCTGTGTCTCTGCCTCTCTCTCTCTGTGTGTGACTATCGTAAATAAAATAAAGATTAAAAAAAAATTAAAAAAAAACTTTAAAAAAAAAACAAAAAAAGAAACAATACATTTCACTCCACTGTAATTACAACCTTCCCTTCATTTTTTTAAAACTATTTTTAATAGATTTTATTTATTCATGACAGACACACACACAAACACTCAGAGGCAGAGACAAGGCAGAGGAAGAAGCAAGCTCCGTGCAGGGACCCTGACGTGGGACTCGATCCCGGGACTCCAGGATCACGCCCTGGGCTGAAGGCAGTGCCAAACCACTGAGCCACCTGGGCTGCCTGCAAACTTCTCTTCAAAGGACACTTTTGGAAAACAAAACAGGAAGTCACAAGTTATGGCCTAAGAGAAGGTATTTGCAGACATACACCTGACAAAGGACTTATATTCAGAATATATAATTTTTAAAATATTTGATTTCTAAGTAATCTCCACACCCAATGTGGGGCTTGAACCCGCAACCTTGAGATCAAGAGTCACATGCTCCACTGACTGAGTCATTCAGGAATATATAATTAAAATATAATCGATATATTCTTATAATTCAATAATAAGAAGACAAACCAATATATTTTTTTTAATGGACAAAAGATTTGAACAATCACTTCACCAAAAGAACATATAGGGCAGCCTGGGATCAAGTCCCATGTCGGGCTCCCTGCATGGAGCCTGCTTCTCTCTCTGCCTGTGTCTCTGCTTCTAAGTCTCTCATGAATAAATAAATAAAATCTTAAAAAAAAAAAAAGAACATATAAATGGCCAATAGACATGTTTGACTTCGTTAGTTATCAAGGAAATGCAAATTAAAACCACAAGGAGATATTACCACGCTCCTATCAGAATAGCTAAAAGGAACAAAGATGGACAGTACAAGTGTGAACAAGGATGCAAAACAACCAGAATTCTGTATTGCTGGTTAACATAGACACCTGTATATAACCCAACAATACCCCTACTAAATAAAACACTCAAGAGAAATGAAAAAATATATCAATAAAGACTTTTATGTTAACCAAAGTCTTACTCCTAACAGCCCCCAAATGGAAATAATCCAAATGTCATTAATAAGTGAATGGATTGGGGTGCCTGGGTGGCTCAGTGGTTGAGCGTCTGTCTGCCTTTGGCTCAGGGCGTGATCCCAGGGTCATGGGATCCAGTCCCATATCAGGCTCCCCAGGGGGAGCCTGCTTCTCCCTTTGCCTGTGTCTCTGCCTCTCTCTGTGTCTCTCATGAATAAATAAATAAAATCTTAAAAAAAAAAAAAAAAAAAAGAATGGATCAAAAAAGTGTGGTAAAGCTCCCCCAGTGGAATACCATGCAGTGACGACATGCAGGGAACAACTGGGTGAAGAATCCATACTCTACAGTTCTGTTTATATGAAAATCTTGAATGTGCAAAGCTATCCTACAGTGACAGAAACCAGGGCAATGGTTGCCGGGAACCAACGGCTGGCGGGAGACTGGCTACGAAGGGCCACAGGGGAGCTTTTTGGGGGTGATGAAAATGTTCTAGATCTTGATGGTGGTGGTGGTTACATAGGTTTAAATATTTGTTAAACCTCCATTGAAATCTACCCTTAAAAGTGGTGTATTTTAAGTAAGTCATATCTCAATAAATTTAAAAAAGAAAACAAAAAGGCTACATTGCTGTGTGCTACAGTGTCTTCATCTTCCCACCCCTTTAACATATTTCCAACATCTCTACCCCAGAGCCACCCTCCAGCAGGGCCTCCTTTCTCTGTGACATGTTTCTTTCCCAGCATGTCCTTCCCACCTGCCACCCCCAGCCAAGACCTTTCTTCATCAGCCTTCACCATCCAGAGCCTCCTGGACCAGAGACCAGCTGGGTCTAAGAATGAGCTGTCAGTGCTTCCCCAGGGAGGGGCTTTGGGCCAAAGCCGAGCAGCCTGAGCAGATTGTGTTCAGCTGATGTGGAGTTGGCCCTCAACTCAACACATCGGCCTCACCAGCTCTTGCCGGGTCTTGGCAAGGGCGAGTGACTGCACACAGAGCCTCTGGTACCTTGGCCATCAGACCTCCACACTTCTTCCCCCAGAGCCAGGCTCTCTGGTCTGCACCTGAAATTCCAGAAGACCTGACCTTCTTGATATGTTGTCCCCAGGTCTCATCTTCCTTTCAGATATCTCCTAGTTCCCTCTGTCCCAGGTCCTTTGCTGTCCCTAGGACATCATTCCAAGTGATATCCTAAGCCTTCATTCCCAAACAGAGTCATTTAAAAGGAAGAAATCTGAATTGGCAGTAATTGTGGCAGAGGCCCCCTGAGGCCCCACCAAACCCCCTTGAGAAAGGGCACCCTGGGTGGCCAGTGTTCCTCCCCAGCAGGCCAATGACTCTTTGCAATGCTGGGTGACCTTGCTGTTCACATTATTGATGGGCCCTGTTTGGCGCCACCACTCCACCCCTAACATAAAGAGAAAGGGGTGCCAGGAGGCCTGAGAAGTTTGGTTAGGGCTCCAGCCTGCATTTGTTTCTAGGGTCCTCTTTGTACCCCTGACCCAGAGAGAGGCTGAGGTATGGGATCCAAATGGTCATAGGCGACCTCGGGCCCTCTGGCCAGGAATGATGAAGGTTGGGAGCTATGGGGAACTATGGTTCTCTGGCCCTCGGCCCCCTACCCTCCTACTCTTGGAGGGCGGAGAGGATGCAATTTCCCTGGTCATGGGAATGGCTGGACCCGGCCGTCTTGGACACAATGGCTTGGCCAGAGCACGTGGGCGAGCCCAGGAGACTGGCTCGGGTTTGCGGCTTCCTGGGAGGAAGTGAGGCATTGTTTCGGGGGTTGTGTGGGCCCGCTGGAACTCTGCACAATGCAGGGAACGGTGGGTGCCAGGTCCAGCCCACCGGCAATCGGGAACTTGTTTATTGCTTTAATGACCCCACGGTGGATCCACCTGGAAACAGACCTGCTAATGAGCGGAGACAGAGCTGGCACAGCCCCAAGGGAAGCCTGTCGGGCCAGCTCCCCTGGAGGCGCTAAGGGTGTGTGGTCTGAGACTGGGAGAGCTGGGAAGTAATAAGGCCTGGGATCTGTCTGGGAAAACCACAGCGAGATCTGATGCTTCTCCATCCTGATCTGCCTCTTCTGGGTCATGACAGGGCAGAGTGGGGGAAGGGGCCAAGACATTGAGAATGGAAGGCACGATTGAGCTTCCTATGGCAGCTTCGGCTCCAAACTGCTGGTGACCTTGACCAAACTGTCAAAGCTTTCTGGGCCTCAGCATCCCCATCTTTCAGGAAGGGACACCCAAATCATTCCTGCCGTCTTCCCACTTTCCCGGGGTGTTGAGAGGCTAAGGTAAGATCAGACACAGCAACTGCTTTGAACTTCTTGGAAGAGAAACCCTTTTAGACATCAAGGCTTTACACTGTTTGCTTCTTTCCCTTGTGGCTAGAACCTGGGAGCTTGGGGAGATGTACTGTCTGAGGCTTGGTTTTCCTAGACTGTTTGTCAGACACCTGCCAGGGGCTGAGACAAAATTAAAAACTGCCCCTGCGTCAAGGACGTCTGGGAGCCAAAACTGGGCAGCATAGGAGGGGCGATGCTACGCTGGAGCCAGCTCAGGCCAGCTCACGAGAGCCAAACACTAAATGTTCAGGAATGTCAAATCCATTGGTAGCTGCAATCAGCCACGGTAGGAGTCTTTACACCATAAAAATTAGCAGTCTCTACAAGCCAGGGCCTTTATTTCTTTCTTAAGAGCTAGTTTTCTAGCCCGAGTGTGTGGAAGGCTCACTCGGTGCTGCTGTGACCCTGCTCAACTCCCCACCCCGATCTCACCAAGCAGATGCAGCTCGTTTGCTCTGGGACACAGACTACCCCCCTTTCACACCCACACACCCGGCCCCAGAGCCTGGGGGCCTGAGAGGGTAAGAAAAGCGGGCCAGGGCAGGCAGCCGTGGGGCAGGGGCGACTAGTGAGATGGAGGGTTCTGGACTCCAGTGCCACAGCTAGGACAGCCGTCTCTCCTGTCCCATGTACCGAGATCTCAGGGTCTGGAAGCCAAACCAAAGCTCCAGCTGGGTGATGAGGCCTGCTGCTGCTCCGGTGTTTCTGTGCCCTAGTTCAGACACAACAGAGGTGGGGATGGAGACCACAGGAGCTGGACATCTCAGGCATCTATGAGGAACTTACAGGAGCATGACTGAGATCTCCTTAATTATTTAGGAACTTGTTTGTTCCCTTGTGTTTGGGGGCCTAATTTTAACCCAAGAAGTTTCTTTAGTGGCTGAAAATAGACGACCATGGACTCTGCCCACGGCCTCTGACCACGGCAGGCAGTGCAGAGTAAAGCTATGAAGTGGGGGAAGGAAGCTGCCGATGGCCTGGGGCAGGTCGAGGGGACAGCTCAGGGCCTGCAAGCCAAGATACCCGGGCTCCGGTTCTGGCTCTGCCATTTGGTCCAGGGCACATCACCCAGTCCCTGGGGGCTCCCTTTCCTTGCCTGCAGGCCACCAGGAGGGGCTCTGACTACCCGCATCCTGATCCTACTCACATCCTCTGATCCTGAATCCATCTCTGCTGCCCTTTCGTTTCTTTTCTCTTCTTTTTTTTTTTTTTTAAAGATTTTATCTATTGATTGATTGGAGACACAGAGAGAGAGAGAAAGAGGCAGAGCAGGCGAGGGAGAAGCAGGCTCCATGCAGGGAGCCCAACGTGGGACTCGATCCCGGGTCTCCAGGATCACGCCCCTGGGTGAAGGTGGCGCTAAACCTCTGAGCCACCAGGGCTGCCCTGCCCTTATTTTTTTTTTTTCTCTCTCTGTCTCTAAGTGGGTGGCATGTAAGCACAGACTTTTCCTTTCAGTGAATAGCGACTTGTGCCCTAGGGTGTCTTTCGAGTTAAGGCATTTGTTTCAGAGTCCAGGAGGTCCGGGGCTTAAATCTTGGCTCTGGCCTCTCACTAGGTGTGTGACCTTAGGGCAGGTTCTTCTCCAATCCTGCCACCTCCTCCAAGAGAGCAGACTGATTAGAGAGCCCTCAGCTCAGACTTGAGGGAATGAAATGGGGGAGTTGGTGTAAACTCTCAGCACAGACCGTGGCACACAGCAGGCGTGGAATAGTGGTAGCTGTGCTCGGCCCTTCACTCCACGGGGTACTGCTCCCTAAAACAGGACACTGGAGGGCCCAGGAGGGACCTGCCACTTAAAAGACGTAGGAGACCTTGAATCCCCTGTTGGGGTTTGGGGTAGCCGGGCATCACCCCACAGTCTCACTAGGGGATTTCAACTCAGCAAGCGAAAATCACAGCCTCCCCGAGGAGACCCCATATTGTCACAAGGAAATGCGTAATTGATCTGAGGTGGAAAGGCAGAGCACTCGGGGTCTGGTTTTGACTTGTCCTCAGCTCTTTTTTATGACATGTTGCTCATCTCTGCCCTCCCTCATCGCTCTGGACAAATGAGGTCATGCTGATGAGCAAAATGAAATCGGTAAAAAATGTTTTAGAGTATTGCTATAAAATGTATTATTATCACAAATAATAATATAATTAATCTCCATGGCCTAGGACAGCCCTGGGAGATTTATGTGTGGGTTGAAGAATTTTCTTTTTCCCATTCTTTTCCAGGGGGGTTGTTTTTTGTTTTGTTTTGTTTTTCCAGCAGGAGCCTCTGTGCCTTGGGGACAGAGTGGGGCTGAATGTCCAGTGTAGTCACAGTCCTGCCTTCCACCCTCCCACTCGTCCCTCCACTGGGAAATCTAAATATATTTTTAGGGAACCTCATTCCTCCCGCTCCGGTTTCCTTTCCAGGGCATGCCTGGGAAAGCTCCCAGAACCTGGGAGTGAGGGCTGCTGTGGGGACGTGCCTGAGCACTTCTCTTCTCTGACCCTGGGCTTTGGTCCTCAGGAAAGCTGTTCCCAGTCTAGGGAGGCCCAGGGACTGAGATGGCCCAGAGAGACAAAAGGTGTGGCAGTGACAAGGAGGGTGAGAAATGCAATAAAGCCGTTGGTTGGATGGGGAGGGGAGACACAACTGTCAAGGCCCCCAAAAAGAAAAGGGAGTCACCTGCTCAGTCAGGGTCCCCAGGTCCACCTTGGATGAGGCTGAAGGCTGGACTCCGGGCTCCAGGGCAGGCCAGCCAAAGCTTCAGCAAGCTGGGGGTGGGGCAGGCGCTGACCCGGGCTCCCCTGGGAACGGGATAAATAATCTTCAGCTGCAACAATAAAGATCAATTATGACCCAATCGCCCAGCCCGATTCCAAAGGCCCAGGGGGTGGGTCTCTTTCTGCCCGTCCCTCGTCGCTCCAGGTTTAATTATCTGAAGAGTCTTTGGACTTTGGGAAACCCAAAAGGGAAGGAAGATCTGCAAATAATTAAGCCAGGGAATGGCCTTCACCAAGGAAGCGTCTATGGGCGTGGGGCAGGGGGCAGGGGACGTGGCAGGTCCCCCCTGGGCGCATCTGTGTGGGTTGGGCACGGGGTGGGGACCGAGAACCGGGGCAGAGGAAGGGAGGCCGCAAGAGCTCGGTGGTCGAGGAGGAAGGAAGCCGGAGTGTGCCCCGAGACGCATCCTGGGCCCCCGAAGGCGGACACAGGAGGAAGCTGCCCCCGAGGGCCGTTCTCGCCCAGGGGTTCCCTCCCGTGCCCGTGGCACCCTCGCACACACTGGAGTCACGTGCAGTATCTTTGAAGGCCTAAACGCAAAACCACCCTAAGCAGGCCAGCGTGACTGTGGCACTGGAGGCTGCAGAGTCCGGAAAGCACCTGCCCTTGTTTCCCGCTCGCCCTGCCACGTCGCCCTCAGGGCTCGGCTGTCTCTCTCTGACACCAGCCTGACAAAGTTCTGCCTGGCAACAGGCTGTCCCCTGTTGGTGCCATGTCGCACCCCGACACGCGTGCACACCTGCAGCGGCGCCAAGGCCCCGTCTCGCCCAGGACGGACACGGGCACAGTCGTGGCCCCGGCTGCAGCTCTGCTGTGCTGGGACGGGCGGGCCCGCTGGCGTTCCCTGGAGGGGCTCTGGGGTTGCGACTCCTCTGGCCTGGTTCTTGGTTTCTTTGTTTAAGATTTTATTTATTTCTTCAGGAGAGACACAGAGAGAGGCAGAGACACAGGCCGAGGGAGAGCAGGCCCCCTGCGGGGAGCCCAGGGACCCCAGGACCACCACGGAGCTGAAGGCAGATGCCCACCCCCCAAGCCCCCCAGGTACCCGTAAGGACCCTCATGTGACCCGCACTTCTCTTCCACCATGTTTGTCCCCCGATCCTGACTGGCCCTTTGGAATCCCAGCTTATTAGCGCCCGAGAGAGCAGCAGAAGCCATCCAACCTGTTTTACAGACGGGGAAAGTGAGGGCTCCTTCTCCGTGCAAGGCTGGCTCTGGCTCTCCGGACGCCCATTCGCCGCCTTTTTTTTTTTTTAATTTTTATTTATTTATGATAGTCACAGAGAGAGAGAGAAACAGAGAGAGGCAGAGACACAGGCAGAGGGAGAAGCAGGCTCCACGCACCGGGAGCCCGACGTGGGATTCGATCCCGGGTCTCCAGGATCGCGCCCTGGGCCAGAGGCAGGCGCCAAACCGCTGCGCCACCCAGGGATCCCCGCCTTCTAAATGAATTTTCACATTCTCTTTCGCCAGCTGGGCCTACCTTCATCGATGATAGTTCACCGTGTGCCCCGGGGTCATATGGCTCATAACATGATGATGGGGCTCAGCCTGGATCAACCACGTGCCCAGAGCAGCCCACCGGGAGGGGAGGACAGAACGCGAGGTGCCAGTGAGCATGAGGCCCACCCCCTCTCCGGCACTGAGGTACTACCGTGTTTTAAAGCCACCTTGGTATATTTATATATTCGTGTTCTTTTCTATTTTAAAAATGCTTTCCCATTGTGCTTCGGCTCACTGGGGCAATGCCGTTCTCCCGGTTGTGCCGAGAGTCTTTTCAATCAAAAACAAACAAAAAAATCCACGTTTCTATTTCTTTATATATCCCTGCTTTTTCAGGAAAATAAATATTTGTTGAAGTAGAAAAATTTTTGAGAAAAATGATTTTGTACCTAGTGTATTTTGCTGTTATTGTTGTTAAATGCGTGCTTTCGGTGACAGGGCTTTTGTTCTGAGAAAGGGCTTTTTATGTTAGGGGTAGAGGGACGTTGTGCATCGAGGGGGCTGTGTTGGGAGTTTCAAAGTAGGAGAGTCTTACATCATACAAGCCAGCAGTCGCCTCTCTTCCTTCTCTTCTCCTCCACTTTGTTTCTGCCTCCTAATTCACATATTCCGCCCCTGTCACCGATGCCATCCTCCTACCCCAGCAACCTGGCCTTCCAGCCACTATGTGGTAGGAGAATAAGGCAGACGGTGATGGGGATCCCTGGGGGGCGCAGCGGTTTGGCGCCTGCCTTTGGCCCAGGGCGTGATCCTGGAGTCCCGGGATCGAGTCCCGGGATCGAGTCCCGCGTCAGGCTCTCGGCATGGAGCCTGCTTCTCCCTCCTCCTGTGTCTCTGCCTCTCTCTTTCTCTCTGTGTCTATCATAAATAAAAATAAATAAATCTTTAAAAAAAAAAAAAAGGCAGACGGTGATGTAGTTTGTCAGCCTGCGTTACATGACAAAGGGGACCAGAGGTCCCAGGACCACGGGAAGCTCTACAGAACTCATCTGCTTCAGTGTTCCCCCTTGAGATGAACAGAAAGTTGTTCTAGGGTTTAAGTGCTTGACAGCTGAGGTCCCTCCTTCCACCCTCAAGACAATTTCCAGGGGATCCCTGAATGGCTCAGTGGTTTAGTGCCTGCCTTTGGCTCAGGGCCTGATCCTGGAGTCCCGGGATTGAGTCCCACGTCGGGCTCCCTGCATGGAGCCTGCTTCTCTCTCTGCCTGTGTCTCTGCCTCTCTCTCTCCCTCTCCCTGTGTCTCTCATGAATAAATAAATAAAATCTTAAAAAATAATAATAAAAGTAAAAAGACAATTTCCAGGTGCCAACAATTCACCAGCCTCTCTCAGGAATCAGTTCACACATTGGGTTTTACTTAGGTGCAAACTAATGTACATGGGGTACAGAATGAATCCCACCCCTTCCTCAGCTAGCAGGGAGCCGGGCCCTAGGGCTAAGGATGCAGTGTGGCTCCAGGCCAATCCCAGGCACCTGTCACAGGGCCTTTCCCTGTCTTGTGACTCATCTTATTGAGGCCACAGGGCCAGAGCTCTGTCAGGTCTTTGGAGATGCAACAGTGAAGGAATCATAGCCCGGGACCTCCAGAGTCCAGCAGCTGGCAGGGAATGACACTTAGATGATCGATCACACCAATGGATGGCAAATGTTATGGTGGGAGAAGCTCTTAAAAGATAAATAAGTAGGGACGCCCGGGTGGCTCAGCGGTTAAGTGTCTGCCTTCAGCCCAGGGCCTGATCCTGGAGACCTGGGATCAGGTCCCACGTTGGGCCCCCTGCAGGGAGCCTGCTTCTCCCTCTGCCTGTGTCTCTTCCTCTCTCTGTGTCCCTCATGAATAAATAAATAAAATCTTAAAAAAAAAAGATATATAAGTCTTGGAGCATCTGGATGGCTCAGTTGGTTGAGCATCTGGATTTCAGCTCAGGTCATGATGTCAGGGTTGTGAGATGGAACCCCACATCGGGCTCCAGGCCCAGTGGGGAGTCTGCTTGGGATTCTCTCTCTTCCTCTGCCATGGCCCCCCATCATGAACTCACCCATGTGACCTCTCTCTCTTTCTCAAATAAATAAGTCTTGGGGCGCCTGGGTGGCTTAGTGGTTGAGCATCTGCCTTGGCTCAGGTCATGATTCCAGGGTCCTGGGATCAGGTCCTTCATTGGGCTCCCTGCAGGGAGCCTGCTTCCCCCCTCTGCCTTTGTCTCTGCCTCTATCTGTGTGTCTTTCATGAAGAAATAAATAACATCTTTAAATCAATAAATCAATCTTAAAAAAAAAAAGAATGTATTGGTCTTCACCAAAAGAAGAAGGGGAAAGAGCATTCTAGGAGAAAGAACAATATGTGAAACAGGATGCCTGAAAAACAACTTCAAGAAGTTTGGGAAGACAGGAACGACAGCTATAAAGAAGTACCAGCAGGACATAAGAGCTCTCTGGGCTCCTTTATTTATGCCAAGCTCCCTCTTTCTTGGAGCTCCTATTCTAGTGGGGAGACAGATAACAAAAACCCAACCAACATATCAGAGCGAGAGATGCTGAGCAGAGAATTACTGCAGGAAGATGTGAAAATAAGTGACAGAGGCACTACTTTGGGTTGGGCAGCCAGAAGAAACCTGCTGGAGAGCTGGGTAAGGAAGTCAGGCAGAGAGAACAGCTACAGAAAAGGCTCCAGGCGGCAGGGCTGTTTAAGGACGTGTGAGATTGCTTTAAGAGATGTCATCAGTCATTCTTTCCACCCTCTTGTAATAGATATTGCTGCATAACAAATGACCCCAAAAGTCAGTCACTTCCAACAACAAACATACCTACAAAGTTTCTGAGGATCAGGATTCTGGAAGCGGCTCCACAGGGTGTTTCTCTACCACGTGGGCTTCTCCACAGGGTCACTCACAGCACCACTGCTTGCTTCTCCCACAGGAAGAGACAGAGAGACAACATACCCCAACAAGTGGCCATAGTCTTTGATGAGCTGCCTCAGAAGTGGTGCAGCATCACTGTTGCTGTGTGCTCCCGGTGCGGCATGCAAGGGACTATGCAGAGGTGTGATTCTCAGAAGTCGTGAGCTGTGGGGGCCAAACTGGAAGCTGGCTAGTTCTGCCCTCTGACCCCTAATGTTTACATCCCTCTGGCAGACAAAAATATGCTCCGTCCCCCACCCCAAAAAACCCTCAAAAGTCTCGCTTCATGGCAGCACCAGCTATAACTCATCATCTAAATCAGCTGCAGGTGCAGATAAGGCTCCTTGGGTGTAGTTTCTTTATTTTTTCTCTTTTTTTTTTAAGATTTATTCATTTTATTTTTTTTAATTTTTATTTATTTATGATAGTCAGAGAGAGAGAGAGAGAGAGAGGCAGAGACACAGGCAGAGGGAGAAGCAGGCTCCATGCACCGGGAGCCCGATGTGGGACTCGATCCCGGGTCTCCAGGATCGTGCCCTGGGCCAAAGGCAGGTGCTAAAGCGCTGCACCACCCAGGGATCCCGATTTATTCATTTTAGAGAGAGAGAGTGCAAAAGCAGGAAGAACAGAGAGAGAGAGAGAGAAAGAGAGGGAATCTCAAGCAAATTAGGCAGGGAGCATGGGCCCAGCTTGGGGCTTGATCCCATGACCCTGAGATTATGACTTGAGCCAAAACCAAGAGTCAGACGCTTGACAGACTGCACCACCCCGGCACCAACAGGTGTAGTTTCTTAAAAGGACTCCCATGAAAGGCTCCTCTTGACCAGCTAAACAAAGAGATGAGTTATCTGCTCCCACCACACCCTCTATACAATGTAGGAGAGGCATGATATAGCTGCTAAATACATTCTTGTTCTAAAGGGGGAAGGTGGTCCATAACAGTTCTGAAATCTAACCAGGCAGATGGAATAACTCTCCATAGCTCTCGGCTCTCCCCTCTGAACTCTTGGTTCTGACCTCTGTGTCATCCCTCTGTTTCCATGAAAGTTAGCCTGTGTTTTCTCAGCTTGCCTCCTGCCAATAGAATTTTGAGAGTCCAGAGGGTTCTTTTCAATTTTGTATTGTCTCAATAGTGCACGAAAACACTTAGGGAAAAAAACATCAGCCCAGAGCCTAGACAATAAAACATGTTCAGGGGATCCCTGGGTGGCGCAGCGGTTTGGCGCCTGCCTTTGACCCAGGGCGCGATCCTGGAGACCCTGGATCGAATCCCACATCGGGCTCCCGGTGCATGGAGCCTGCTTCTCCCTCTGCCTGTGTCTCTGCCTCTCTCTCTCTCTCTCTCTCTCTCTCTCTCTCTGTGACTATCATAAATAAATAAATAAATTTAAAAAAAAGTTTATAAAACATGTTCAGTAACGGTAGCAATTATTACTAAAGGGAGGTGTGGTATGTAGAACAATGGCCCCTAAGGATGTTCACGTCCTACTCCCTGGAAACTATGGACAGGTTTCCAACATGGCAAAAGGGACTTTGCAGATGTGACTAAAGTAAGGATCTTGAGATGGGAAGAGAATCTTGGAGTATCCAGGTAGGCCCAATGTAAATCATAAGAATTCTTATAAGTGAAAGAAGGAGGAGGGTGCCTGGCTGGCTCAATCAGAAGAGCATGTGACTCTTGATCTCAGGGTCATGTTTTCAAGCCCCACATTGGGCATAGAATCACTTAAGTAAATAAATACATTTAAAAGAGAGAAAAGAAAGAAGGGGGCAGGATGTTTAGAGAAGGAGATGTGAGGGGACGCCTGGGTGGCTCAATGGTTAAGCGTCTGCCTTCAGCTAAGGGCGTGACCCCGGAGTCCCAGGATTGAGTCCCACGTTGGGCTCCCTGCATGGCGCCTGCTTCTCCCTCTGCCTGTGTCTCTGCCTCTCTGCGTCTCTCATGAATAAATAAATAAAATATTTTTTTAAAAAAAGAAGGAGATGTGAGGACTACAAACTACAAAGTTTGGGGGAAGTGATTGCTGGCCACAAGGGGCCATGAGCCAAGGCATGCAGGTGGCCTTGGGAGGTGGGAAAAGACAAGTAAATGGATTTTCCCTAGAGCTTCCAGATGGAATACAGCTCTGCCAACATCTTGAGTTTAGCCTAATAAGAGCTGTTTTGGATTTCTGGTCTCCAGAACTGTAAGATAATAAATTTGTGATGTTATAAGCCACTGGGTGGTAATTTGTTTTAGCAGCAATGGG